TTAAAGAATTAGTTAAACAAGTTTAATTTTAATTTTAATATTTTAATTAAATAATTAAATAATAATAATTATTTTATTTAAAAAAGATAAATTGATTTTAGTTTTTTGATTTAATAAAAATATTAAAAGTTTTAAAATAATATAACAAGTATTATCTATTATAGGGCTTTGAAAGTACCAAACTGGTATCAAACTGATATCAAAATAGTACTGATCTATAGTAAATTTAATATATAGGTTGTGATCTACTCATATGATTTTATAGTAAATTTAAGTATTGAAGTAGTATCGAAGTGGTATAGTTAAGAGCCCTAATCTAATAAAATTGTTTATAAAAATTATATTAAAACAAATAATAAATTTAATATCTTTGTTTGAATATATTTTTTAAAAAGTGTTTAGTTTAATAAATATAATAATATAAATATAAATAGTTTTTATAATATAGTAAAGATAAGAAAGAATACAAAAGAACAAAAAAAAAAATAAACTGTTATAGATTTTTTTTTATATAATTAAAAAATAAGCAAGATTTTCAAACTTGAATAAATTTTAATTAAGAATTTTATTCTATTATATCAGTTATTTTAAAGTTTTTGAGTTTTTGAGTTAAAGTTTACTTGTAATAAAAAGTATAAAATATTTTTTTTGATAAAAATTACTATCAAAAAAAATTCTAATAAAATAAATACAATTAAAAATTTTTTTTAATTTTATAAATAAATTATATAATTATATTATCTTTAATATATACTATTTTAATATTTTTTTTTTATAAATAATTGTTTAACATAACAGCATTAAAAATAATAAGAAATTCATTATAAGATAATTTATTTTATTACAATTATAAATATTATAATTAATATAATGGTTATAAAGTAAAAAATAGTAAAAAATTTTAATACAATTTTTATTAAATTTAATTAATGGTTTTATTTTTATATAACTTGAATTTTATAATTAAATTTTTAAAATTAATTTTTATTTATATATTTAATATTAATCTTTTATTTAAATCTATTACTAAAGCTTAAGATTAAAAAAATCAATTAACAAATTAAAAATTAAAAAAAAAAATCAATAATACAGTATATTACATATTAAAAAAAAAAAAAGAAAAAAGATATTATTCTTTTTTAGATCAATAATAAAAATCTTTATAGTTGCTGTGTATATAACAAAAAGGTTTCTTATAATCTATTCTTTAGATATTCTCAAATCACTTTTTATTACCTGTAATTAACAAAGTTGTTTAATTTTCGTCAAAAAGATATTGCTCAAATCATTTAAGGATATTTTTCTTGAGAATTATAATATAAATCTAGTTACCTCGTGATTATTAATTTCTTATATTATTTCTCTCTCAATTATCAGTTCTTGATACTTTGTTTCAGTTAATTTATTAATTTTCAAGACACCTTTCTTAAACTATTGTAAAGGATAGGATCGATACCAGTTAGTATATACAATATCTGATTAAATAAAAAACAAGATATTATGATTGGTTATGTAGGTGTTAACCGTGTCGGCAATTGTTTTTGATATACAGTAAGTAGCTTCACTGAAGGTGATTTGTTATTAAATGTTTATTCTGTGTGACCTTTGGGTTTAACGAGAGTTGAACCGTAACCGGAAATCGGGCGTTTGCTTTTTTTTATGTTAGACGTTATGGATGATTGCGTAACGGTCCAAAATTTTTTGACTGAACAATGCGTGCGTCCAATAAGCAACAACGTCCATCGACGTTAATATTTTCATATTACCGTAAAAGAAGTGTTCATTCAGTTTGATATCAGATGACAAAGAAACATTTAATTTGTTTGAGAAGGCTATGTTCTTCCATAAAATCAGTGATCTCCATTATGTACGAGCATTTGATCTCTTCGTAGGGTTCAGTTTGCCGAATTAACTTTTATGCAGAATTTGGCTACGTGTGTACATGCTTTACACATCCAATTGAGTTTCAACTTTATTATATATACAGTATTTATATTAAATAAAAAGAACTGAACAATCGAATGTAAAGTAATGCATGCGCTTGTGTCTCTTTTTTCTGTCCTTCAGCTGAAATCATTTCTGATTGAAGTTCCTACTTTCACTCAAAAAATAATCGATATTTCAATATTCTTATAAATAATAACTTTCCGTTGCATTCCAAGTATTACTCTACTCTGACATCTCTTATCACGTGCTCCCTTCGTTTAAATAAAGAACATAATCGTACCGAAATTTAAATTTGCTTTGCTAATTAGTCTTACATTTTATCCTTTAAGCTTATTCTAAATTAGAAATGGAATGTCAAACTCTGCCTTCATATATGGAAATCGATCATAAATCTAGAAAATGTGATAAATGCAACAAATCGCTAGGGGTTTATGGTTGTGAGCGATGTTATGTAAAGAAATTTGAACGAAGCTTTCAGAATTACATTGGTTTTAAAAATTCGATAGATGAATTTACTGGAAACAATCAAGCTAACACCATTAGTATGTGTCGAAAAACAGGGTGGGTTCCTTGCAATGAAGTCATAAATGTCAAATGTCTTCCCAGGGGAACGTTTGGAATTGTGTTCACTATGTCAAGAAGTTATAAGGATTTTGGAAACATTAATCTGAAATTGGTTGATGAGGTATAGTATTTTGAAGAATTTGATATAAAATTTTAATTACAGTAAAAATTTCAATGAATTCATTAACGAAATAGATCGAAGATCGGTTGGCAAATTTCAAAGTGATTGGCTTTTGCGTTATTGAACCACCCAATGCTAAAGAATGTATGATGATTATGCAAATAGGAGACAATGGAACCCGTAAACAGGTTTTAACGGGACCAAATTTGGACAACGGATTAATTCCATCGCAAAAAATCACAAAAGGGTTAGGTAGAATTGGCGGCATCCAGTCAATAGGAAATTGTGGTATCATTATTTTAAGAGAAAAGACTTTCTCTCATATATCTAACTTTGGATTAAGTAGATCCGTCGAACAAGTTCCAACCTTCAAGCCCGAAAGTGATTTGCGTGATGCCCTTACCCTTTTACCATCGGAAATCTTATCTGTGCTTATGACCAACAAACATTCTCCCAAAAGCATTATGAATGAAAAAATCACAGGAACTCAGTCCCACAATGACACGCCTTATAAGTCAACGCTACAAAACAACACTCAGTTGTCGAAAAGATGTTGGAATAAAAATCCAATAAATCAGCTTATTTTATACAGGTGGAATTCCACATGCCAAAGTAAAGATATCGGAAAAGATCATTCAAAAAATTCACCAGAATCAATTGAAAACGACAAAAATTCCAAATGTTCACAAGAAAGCCACGCAAATCAAACCCTGAGCATTGATAATTCTTCTAATCTTATGAGTGTCAATCTACTACTGTCGTCACAACCTGTAACAGGTAATAAGAAACGGTCGTTAGGAAGATTCTGTTGATTCTTATTATTTTTTGCAAATTCTAGACGTAAATTGCAACTCTCAAGGAGAAGCAAGTTTGGAATCAAACGTTGAAAAAGTTATTATTGACCCATCATCCAATGAAGTTAATGATGGAGGTAAGAAATTGGTTCGGTAAACAAGAGTTGAACGTGAGTTAAAACACGCATAAAGTCCTAACTAATAGTATTATTAATTCAGATTCAAATGAAGCAAAAATATTAAAAGTTGATTCCTACACTTCGAATTTAAATTTAAAAAGCGCTATAGGTATTTGTCCGGTTTGGCTTTATTTAAATGGTTTACCAAATTAACATGTACAATTTACTTAGATTCAAAGAAAATAAAAACCATAAGGTTTCAACCAAACAAATCAACGCACATTCAATCTCCGCATTTGAAATCCAGCAAAAGTACCTTTTTTTTTTCTTTCTTAAATTTGATCTCATAATAACAAAATATTAGTAATAATATCATATTTATTTTTCCTTTCATTAAGACCTGAGAGAGACAAAAATTCCAAAATTCAACATTCAAAAAACGAATGTCATTCAACCATTACGCCCAAACCTCATTACAGTATCAAATTCCAATAAAAGTAAGATTCCAAAGTTTCCCCCAACTTCTCGGCTTGCACATCCGAAATCTGCCATAGGTATTTGACTACTTCATCAATAATTGATTTAATATTTCATTTTTATCTTACAACTTTCTCATTCGTGATTTTAAAATCAGATTCAACGAAATCAAAAATTCCACAGTTTGGATCTAATATTCAAGCGAAAGTTCAACTTTCTCGTTCAATGACCATCCCGAGAATTGGTAACTGATCTCACTTGATAACGAATTGTGATATTTCAAATTACAACTAACCATATTTATTAAATTTAGATTCAAAGAAAACCAAAATTCCAAAATTCCGACTAAATACTCAACCTTCATATCCCATCGCAGGTATGATTATGCAGATGTCTTCGTATTATCGTATCAAGGGTCATTAAAAATTAAGCATTTATCATTTTGTCAATCATTATAGGTTCGGGAAAAAGCCAGTGATATCTGAAAGTGTAATTTTCGGTCTTTATAAGAATCCATTTATCGCATTATATAAGAACCTTTGGTTCACTTTTTGTTAATACCGCACCAAAATAACAGTAATAGGTATAGAATAGAGATTTTTATATTAAATTAATTTCTGTCGATAGTTTTCAATGATATATTTATGGTTTTACTTAATTAAATTAAAGCTTCACTTCTATAAATCAATTTGTTCATGGCCGCATACATGGATTGTAGTGTATACACGCATATATACTATATATTTTCATGTATTCAAATCTAATTCGGGACATATAAAGTGAATTTTTTTTTAGAATACAAGATTCTTAAAGTTGGCGGGTTCGCAGAATCTGCCGTATGTTTGTGAGTTACAGTATGTTCAATTAATAAATAGTTGGGCCATTGTTAAACTCTTTTTTAAAATGAAAATAACCACATGGGCTTAACGATTAGTAATTGGTTAAAAAAAATAATATAAATAAAAATTTTTGTTTGATATACTGTATGTTTTAATATATACAGTATTTTAATATTTATTTTTCTAGACATAAAAGCAATAATTTATTGGAAATAAAAACATCAAAATTTATATACACACTATGGGACATTTGCTTTTGAATAAAATTATCTTACTATTTTTATTCTTAAGTAAAAAAGTTATTATAAAATTTTTTTAATTAGAATATTTTAATTTGATGAAATTTAGATTTAAAATTATAAAAAAATTGACTTTAAAAAATTATAAAAATCTAAATAATAAAAATATAATTTGAAATAAATTTAATATAGAAAATCATTTTTAAAATTATAAAATTGGAATTTTATTAATTAAAAAATTTTTTTATAAAAATAGTTCAATTAAAAATTTTATAATTAAAAATAAATTTGTGATATTAAGGATAATTATAAAAATGATATTGATAAATCTAATAAAAAATATATATATATCAAAACAAAATTATAAAGAAAAACTGTTTTAAGTCTTTTCTTATATAATTAAAAAACAAATAAAATTTTCAAACTTGCTTTATCTTTAATTAAAAATTCTATTCTGATATAATAGTAATCCTTAAAATTCTTATTCTTAAGCTTATAATATAATTACGTAATATAGAAAATAATAAATAAAAAAAAAACTCTTTCCCACAACTTTTCAACTCGTAAAAAATTTCCTTTTTTGGTAATGACATGAACGGTAGACAGTAAACAGCAAGCGAGAACCTCTTCCTGGGAGAGGAGTTCATCTTAGCTTTCTGCAGGGTGCAAGGGGTCGATTAACTCTCCATAGA